GTGTGGTTTGTGATGTAAGATGTTATCAAATTCGAGGTCAGAGAATGAGATTGTTCAACAACAGACAGAAAGATTATTGCAGAAAACCAGACTTCGTGGAGTCTCACTCTGCTGTATCTTCTCAAATAGTTAAACATGACATTTTTTCTCAGTAAACATTTTAGTTGACCGAGAACCGACCTTTAACATACTTACAACCTGGCTCATTGCAGACAGAAAAATCAAGAAATGCATATTAACCTGATTTCTTCTTTGAATGAGGGATAAAAATCATTACTTACTGTTTATGTAAAATAAAAATGAGTAGTTCTCTTCAACCTGTAAGCATTGAGTGAGCTAACACAATTTGATTATCAAACATTTGTAAAATAGTAATGATCATAGAGAATTGTCTTTTCTGCTTGATTAATTCAAGAAAGAAAGTCACCAGATGGCTCAAACTGTATTTCTGGATGCAGATCAATGAAATAACAGTCTCTGTCCATCTGATCAAGATTTGAGGTCCGATCAGGTTCACTACATATTCAAGTGAGCAGTGAGTTTCACACACTATTTTAGCTCTGGATTCACTCAATAGTACTGTCATAAGTCAACTTATTCAAAGGAATGAATTGTAAGATTCACCCCAATGCATGAATATTTTAAGTAAATGCCTCCTTCTGGCAGTGTTACTTAATGTGCTTATTTCCAACAGATACAAGAATCAGGCTTCTCAGTGTACATTTACTCTAAAGCACTTAAAATAAAATAAAAACTGCAATTTTTCTAAAAGTCTCACAGCAACTGTAGTTTTCAAACACTTTTTAAGCAGTTCTATAAACCAGAAATTCGCCATTGAAAACAGTCACTCATAAACCAGGCTGGATGAACAAAAAGAGACAAAAAAATTAGGAAATTATCAGTCCCCCTTCAGGAAAACTGGTATACTCCTCTTTCAACAGCAGGTGGTGGTGTAAGTTTATTTATACCAGCAGAAGTCTATGACAACTTCCTGTGGATTGTTCCGTTGATATCCAGTGTTAGCCGTTAGCCAGACGTAGCATACGGTCGAACACGGTCAAATCAGCATTTTCTGAACGGATTTAAAGCTTAAAAGTGGTGTCGTTTCAACAAGCACGACTTTTTGCATGAAACATGAGTTTTGGGAAGAGTGGCAGGCTTCATTTAGCAATTTTAAACACAGAGGAGGCTTCGGTTGAACCGAGATACATTTCCTGGGTCACGTGACTCCATAGACACGCGAGCAACGGGGTGGGTTTTACAAGATTTATATAGAGATAGACATATATATATAGACATCTATACACACACACACACACACACACACACACACACACACATATATACATATATATACACACACACACACACACACACACACACACACACACACACACACACACATACATACACACACACACACACACATACACACATACATATACACATACATATACATACATATATATATAAATTAAAACTCTGATTAACCAGATTCTACAAAAACATCTAGATTTAAATTTTTATAGGTTTTCATCATCATTTGATGTATTTGCACTCATTTTGTCTACTTTTAATGTTCATTTTAGATGTGTGGTTTTCTTTGTTCACATATATACATTCTATTTTTAGCTTTGCTTTAAAGTTCTTGTTTTGTGATTTGTACATTTGTGGGTTAAAATAAAGTTGAACTGAAGGTCGTCTCTTTTCTTTAAACGTTTGAGGGAAATATTCCTGAGATCCAATAGTTTTGTGTCTTTTTATGATTTTCAGCTGAGTTAACAGTCATTAAAGTGAAAACAGGATTTCATGATGAGGCTGGCACCGTTTATTTTATTATTTTTTTAATCCTCAACGCTCTGCTGGTCTCACACGATCCTCTCCTCCGGAGACAGGACAGGCAGGCTCATCTTCCCAGCACCGAGCTCAGCTGTTGACTCGCAGAGGCCGTTCTAAGACCCCAGCCGCGAGTAATCATGAAGGCCTGACCCGCGCAGACAGGCGGACAGAGACGGGTCTGCGACGAACGGTGGAAGCGATTAAAAAAAAACATTTTACGTGTAATAAAATAATCATTTTTAAATCGCTTCTGCAATTTTTTTAAAAACATTTTTTGTATAAAAACTAAATATTATTTTATTTAAAAATCGCTTTCACCATCCGTCCCAGACTGTCCAGTCCGCCTGACTGCCGGGCGGGATCGGGATTCAGCCTCCATGATTACGCACGGCCGGGGTCTCGCAATGGCCTTCTGTGAGTCCCCATCTCCAGCTTCGCAGTGACCAGCGGAGCTCTGAGCACACAAGGCTGGTATCCGGAACCCGAGCCTCCGAGTCGGCACATCGAAGGATCTTCCGCGGTGGCCAGCAGAACTCGGAGCTGGGGAGATGACGCCCTGCCCGGCCTGGCGCTCCAAGGCTCCGGGGGGAGGATTGGGGTACACCAGCAGAGCTCCATCCAGCTTGCTCTTGTAGTGTGCTAAAAGGCTCAATTAGCTTCAGCTACACTACAATCATATTTTAAATTAACGGGTTCTCTCTTTTTCAAGCTACTTTAGAGATATGTGACAGAGGTACTGTGCGTAGATGGTTTAATCAGTGACATGAGACGTTAATTTTCTTTGACCCATCAAAATAAAGTGGTCATTTATTAACAGAATCGAAATTTAACATCAAAACATTGTACACTTGATTAGACTGATCTGCTTCTGATTAATAAAACTTGGCACGTTTTACTTAATAAAAACAATAGACATTTCTGAAGATATCTGGATTAATTACTGGCAAGATAGAAGAGTTTTAAAGATGGGAAATATGGAGGAGTTTAAAGGAAATATGTGGAGGAAGATGTATGTCTGTAGACCAGAACAACACGCTCCTTTCAAACGCAGCTCGCCGTGGTACACTTGTAGTGAAGCTCGTGACAACTCTTTACCTTGGCAGAGGATGGGTCCACTGCGGTCAAGAGGTCCCTGGCACGCTACCTTTCAGCGTCTTCTCAGGGCGGCTGCGACTCGGCAGAAGTCGTGAGATACTCCGTTCCACAGAACAAACTTCCTCAGCAGTTATAGGGCATTCGCCTGGTGTCAGAAGAACTCAGAGGAACTCAGAGGAACTAACTGTTCCAGGAAGTGTTGACTTTTAAAGAGTTCTGCTTCCGGTCACTTTTAGGAAGTCCTGATTGGTTGAAGCAACCAACAGGAGTGTGGGTCTAGTGACGTCAAAGGGTTTTTACAAGTCGAGAAAACAGCAGAAATGTTTAGGAACAGACAGAGAAATGTTTTGGCGAAGTGAGAAACACTGCCGGTGCCAGTTCTCTTATTTACAGTCTGAGAGTTTTAAAAACACGACATCCTGTTCTAACAACTTGTTTCTTGACTGTCTCCGACTTTTGACCGACATCACTCTCTCATTTCAGACAGAAGATCAAAAAATGCATAATTACTTTGCAAAATAGACATTTAACTTGATTTCTACTTTGAATGAGGATTAAAAAATCATTAATACTGTTTCACAGTTGATTTAAAATGAGTGGTTCACTTCAACATTTAAAAATGGTATGAACTAAACACACTTTTGATTATCAAGATATTATAAAATAGTAATGATAATATAAAAAAAAGAGTGTTCTTTCAATTGATTAGTTCAGGATACAATTAGAAAGTCTCTGGATGAGCTAATTTGCATTTCTGGATTCAAATCAATGAAATAACAGTTCCTGTCCCATGAAGGTCTTCAGAGGCAGGTTTTGATCGGAGGCCTAGTTCACTACCCTCTGAATTATGTTGTCAGCCACCAAGCACAAAAAATGCCAGCACATCAGCATTAGACCAAGATGTTGTCAGTATAGTTTTTAAAATCTTTAAAATAAGTCCAGCCGCTGCTCCAGTCCGAGAAATTGCAAATGGCAGATCATTGTTTTGAAAAGTTTCTGAAGAATCCAGTGACTCCGCCCCCGACTCCGCCCCCGACCAATCAGTTACCGACAGTGTTCTGACGTCACGTTTTAGTACCTCTTCGTTCGGGTTAGAACCACAGAGCCAAGGGTACTGAAAATAGTAACAGGTGCTAAGTACCGGTACTAATGGAAAAGCCTCAGAACCGGGCCAAGTAGGGTCCAGCCGGCCCGTACCGGTACTAATGGAAAAGGGGCATAAGTGTACCGGAGGTTTGAGCTGGTGTTGAAAGAAGCGTGCTAATTCTGGTCAACAAAATATATATATCTTTCCTTCATCCATCTCTACTTTTAAACTTCTCCATTCCTTCCTTTAAACCTTTCTATTTTGCCAGTAAATCAATCTAGATGCCTTCAGACATGTTCGGTTGTCTTGTTAGTAAAGAGTGCCAAGTTTTTATTAATCAGAACCAGATCAGCAAATCAAGTGTACATGTTTTGATGTTAAATTTTGATTCTGTTAAATAAATGACCACATTTATTCTGATGTGTCAAAGATAAAATGGCGTCTCATGTCACTGATTAAACAATCCTCACAGTTAGCTCGGTCACATGGCATTAATTTAACTCGAAAAAGAACCCGGTGTATTAAAATTTTTAGTAGTGAAGCGACAGTTAAGCTGTCTCCCCACATTTCACTACAACATCTACAACTGATTACCTCCTGAACTCATCCCAATTCAACATGGTTGCTGCAAGAAAGCAATCGTAGATTATACAAAAATGGCTATACCTCTGAATCTGACAGATAAGCTAAAATTTGTTGTCACAATGGATATTTCAAGCTCTAACAGGTAATGTAAGTTTTCACAATATTGTATGTTTGTGCAAAAGGTTATTTTCAATATTTGATCACAATAGCTATAACTCCATCATTTCAAAAACATTAGATTGTCCTAGGCTTAGACTCTGGCATGAAAGGAGGTAGACAATATATATTGCTTCAACTGCTTCAAGAAGTGCTATTTTTTATAGTTCTGGAACGTTACAGTAAAATAATTTGTCATTATCTTTACATGAAAAAAAAAAGCCTTTTATTTTATCAGCTCTCTGTCCAATACTATAAAGAGAATAAAGAGGTCTTGGGGAAGGCAGTTCTGCACCTGACAGCTGTTGGTGAGTTAATTCATTAAATATATTAAAACATCAGCATTTATTCATTGACACATTAACTATGTATTTAAATCAATCCAGTGTGACTTCATTTAATATGTCAGTCTCTGTGGATTAGAAACAATAGAACAATGTTCGTACTGTCTCTGGTAAGTTTATGCAAAAGCCAAATGCCATAAATGAGATGTGTTTGCCACACAGAGATCTCTCTGGATGTGGATGCTGACAGAGATGGCATTGTGGAGAAAAACAGCCCTAAGAAGGTAATTCTCTAAGCTCCTTGGATAAAAACTCAAATTTTGCATCTTTCAAACAATGATTTAACCTCCAAATGCCATAAACGAGATGCAAGCAAAAATACAAAACTCGGTTTAAAGTGTCACTGTACACGTTTTTCAACTTATGCTGTCCTTTATTTTTCTGCACAAACATGAACAGAACACAACCAAAGGTTAAAGTTTGCCTCAACATACATCATTTACAGTCTAAATATGTCATTTCAACAAGTCTCTTTAAAATTTCTTTCTAATGATTTTTGTAAAACACTTTACTACAAAACTTTTGCTTATAGATTTTTCAGCAGCCTTTAAATCCAGCAAATTGACTTGTCTCGTTTGGTTAAAATGTACTAGACGTCCTGGAAATGGGGGCCCAATGGGCATGGAGCTGTATTGTTGGTTAACTGTGACTGTGAGCGGATCTACAGCAAGAAACCGGACTGTGAGGACAACCACATTTCTAAAGTGTCAGGTAAAACAGTATCACTGCTGACCCGGTTTAATCTAACAACTTTGATACTTTTTGATATCATTAATGAATGTCTACAACTGTAGCAGCCCCCCAGGTTTTTAACAAGATTCAGCGCAGTCTCGACGGGTGTTTTTCCAGGTTCTTTAATTTTTCTTCCATCAGGATCACCATGATCACCTGGTCACCATGATCACCGTGAAAACTAAAATACAAGCCCTTCTCAAAAAATTAGCATATTGTGATAAAGGTCATTATTTTCCATAATGTAATGATAAAAATGAAACTTTCATATATTTCAGATTCATTGCACACCAACTGAAATATTTCAGGTCTTTGTTTTAATACTGATGATTATGGCATACAGCTCATGAAAACCAAAAATGCCTGTCCCAAAAAATTAGCATATCATGAAAAGGTTCTCTAAACAAGCTATTAACCTAACCATCTGAATCAACAACGTAACTCTAAACACCTGCAAAAGATTCCTGAGGCTTTTAAAAACTCTCAGCCTTGTTCATTACTCAAAACCGCAATCATGGGTAAGACTGCCGACCTGACTGCTGTCCAGAAGGCCATCTTTGACACCCTCAAGGAAGAGGGTAAGACACAGAAAGAAATTGCTGAATGAATAGGCTGTTCCCAGAGTGCTGTATCAAGGCACCTCAGTGGGAAGTCTGTGGGAAGGGAAAAGTGTGGCAGAAAACGCTGCACAACGAGAAGAGGTGACCGGACCTTGAGGAGGATTGTGGAGAAGGGCCAATTCCAGACCTTGGGGGACCTGCGGAAGCAGTGGACTGAGTCTGGAGTAGAAACATCCAGAGCCACCGTGCACAGGCGTGTGCAGGAAATGGGCTACAGGTGCTGCATTCCCCAGGTCAAGCCACTTTTGAACCAGAAACAGCGGCAGAAGCATCTCACCTGGGACTGCTGCTGAGTGGTCCAAAGTTATGATCTCTGATTACAGTAAATTTTGCATTTCCTTTGGAAATCAAGGTCCCAGAGTCTGGAGGAAGAGAGGAGACACAGAATTCACATTGCTTGAGGTCCAGTGTCAAGTTTCCACAGTCACTGGGGTGCCATGTCAGCTGCTGGTGTTGGTCCACTGTGTTTTATCAAGGGCAGGGTCAATGCAGCTAGCTATCAGGAGATTTTGGAGCACTTCATGCTTCCATCTGCTGAAAAGCTTTATGGAGATGAAGATTTCATTTTTCAGCACGACCTGGCACATGCTCACATTGCCAAAACCACTGGTAAATGGTTTACTGACCATGGTATTACTGTGCTCAATTGGTCTGCCAACTCTCCTGACCTGAACCCCATAGAGAACCTGTGGGATATTGTGAAGAGAAAGTTGAGAGGCGCAAGACCCAACACTCTGGATGAGCTTAAGGCTGCTATCAAAGCATCCTGGGCCTCCATAACACCTCAGCAGTGCCACAGGCTGATTGCCTCCATGCCACGCTGCATTGAAGCAGTCATTCATGCAAAAGGATTCCCGACCAAGTATTGAGTGCATAACTGAACATGATTATTTGAAGGTTGGTGTTTTTTGTATTAAAAACACTTGTCTTTCATTGGTGGGATGAAATATGCTAATTTTTTGGGACAGGCATTTTGGGTTTTCATGAGCTGTATGCCATAATCATCAGTATTAAAACAATTAAAGACCTGAAATATTTCAGTTGGTGTGCAATGAATCTGAAATATATGAAAGTTTCATTTTTATCATTACATTATGGAAAATAATGACCTTTATCACAATATGCTAATTTTTTGAGAAGGACCTGTATATACAAACATTTAAACATAAAACATGTGCTCATAATACAAACATTTAGATACAAACAAAAACGTACCTCGCTGCTTTTACCGGGGGAATGCAAAGCATAGTTTTTCTTAGTTTCCTTTACACAAAACATTTGAGTCCTACTGACAGTTGTTTTTTCATCCAATAATTAGTGCAATGATTGCCTTCAGCTTTTATAAGGCTGGCCCTTATTAGCTATGGCATCCCGTAAGGTACAAAAAAAACTCATTGAAAACTACAAATACAATGAAATAAAAACAGTACATTTACAACCAAACACAGTCAAAACAGACAAACATATATAAACAATCTGCACAGTTTGGAAATTCATTTTTAAATAATTTACAGTCCATTACAAAAACTAAATGGTAAATGGTAAATGGACTGTACTTATATAGCACCTTTCTATCTTATTTCAAGATACTCAAAGCGCTTTATACTACAATCTGTGTCCTCATTTACCCATTCATACAGCACTCTACATCGCTACAAAGCTAATATTTAGCACTAGTACTAGTTGCTAATACTAGCAACTAATAAGTATTTTTTAATACAAGTCAGAGTCAGTCAGAGTCAGAGATTCTTTATTGTTGTTCGCACCACATGTGGCACATGTGGTGGAATGAAATTATGTACACAGGGTCCCAGTTACATCCAACAATAAAAATGTAAAAGAAAAACAATGATAAGATCTAAGATATGAACTAAGAAAAACATCAACTAAAAATACACTAAGCACTAATAGCATAAAAAACATTACGTCAAACAGCAGCACGAACATGAGCATGAGTCTGTGTGAGCAGATGAGCACGCATAAACACATCAACATGGAACAGATCAGCAGCAACATGATGTGATTTTTCACAGTGATTATTCAGGTTAGAGATTCATGAGTCTAACAGCCTCAGGGTAAAAGCTGTTCATCCAGTCTAGTGGTTCTACACTTAATGCTCCTTAACCTCCTTCCTGAGGGGAGCAGGGTAAAAAGTGTGTGTGCTGGGTGAGTGGGGTCCTTCATGATGCATGTGGCCCTTTTCCTGCATCTGGAGGTGTAAATGTCTGTGATGGTGGGGAGACTGACTCCAACAGTCTTCTGTGCAGCCTTCACCACTCTCTGCAAAGCTTTTCTTTCTGCATCTGTGCAGCCTCTATGCCACACGTTGATGCTGGAGCACAGGATGCTCTGATTATTCAACTTAACTCTTAACTTAACTCAGTGCTTCTCAATTATTTTTGGTTATTCCCCCCCCCACACACACACACACAGGAAGAAGTAAACATTTTGCGCCCCCCCAACTCTTCGCCGCAACTGTAAATAGTATAATTTGTCTAAAAAAGTGTTATAAATACACCTCTGCATAACAATGTACCCTTATTAACATTAAATAAAAAAGAAAGAAATATAGTTCAACTTACAACAAAGATTATTAACATTGTTTGATAGTCTATAACAGAAAAGGCTTAAAGTGCATCAATTTGCCTGAAATTAAAAAAATATATATCCTTATTTAAACTGTAAACATTTTTGACCATTTGATACTGAACAATCAAATTAAATACAATCAATAAATACAAATAAATTAAAATTGATCAGCAACATTTTAAGTCGGGCGTGTTATATAAAACACTTTGACTTACAAAAATGAATAAAACAATTTGTGCAGATTTTTTAAATCAAAATGAGGAAGTCAGGATTAATGTATATAATGAGCACGTTTTGCAGTACACAGCTTTTTGAAGCGCAGTTTGAAACATGATTCTGCAGCTCTCAGCTCCTGCTCAATGTTTAGCTGGACTGGACTTGGTCTTCAGTGCCAGCGACAGCAGAGGAGTCGCAGAGAGCGCAAGAGTGAGCGGGCTGGTGTGTGTGGGTGGGTGGGGGTGGGGGTGGGGGGGTCCCGGAGAACGCGCTCACAAGAGTAGAAACTGACAAGTTGTTTAATGACAAAATATATTTTGTTAGCAAAGAATAGAGTCCTAACATTTGTTATTATAACAAATTAAAAAAACATCAAACTTGTGCTTTGACAATCGATAAAACGTTGGTTACGTACTGTAACCCCAGATTCTATGAGTATAGGCGTAGCCCTTTAAGGCTGTCGCTTAGTGGGTTTTATCCCGTCATGCGAAGCATCACACTGAAAATTTAGTCCACGCCCACCTGCTGTGTGGGCCCCACCCGGTCCGTATAAATTACGTTAAGAGCAGGTAATAGGCTCCCAAATAGCTTTTCTTCAGCCACTTAGGAGCCAGTGAGGCCCAACGCTTAAAGGGCTATGCCTATACTCATAGAATCTGGGGATACAGTACGTAACCAACGTTCTATTTCGAATAGGCTTCACCCTTTAAGGCTGTCACTTAGTGGGTTAAGGGTGAAGCAGATGTGGTCCTCGCCTCACTGGGTCCATTCGAACACCGTATGAAGCGGAAGCTTGCCCAAAAAACGTTTTGTCACTCAACTCCCCATGTACGTAATTACGCATTGTGTAATTATGTGTACCATGCACAGACGCATGTTGTGTAACTATACGTTCTGAATGCATGAACGCCCCGGAAACTTTCAACGGGGAAGAAAGATGTTGAGAAGGGGGGGCTTGAAACAACTGATTCATGGCTGAACAGTATGAACAGATTAATAATAACAAATGAACTGATTATAATCAAATGAACTGACTGGTAACAATAGTCATGAACTGATTAATGACCATAGAACCAAATAACAGTTACAACTTGTGACTGATAACATCTCACACTGTAATGCATGCAGACAGATCTGAGTAAAACAGAGTTCCATAAAACAACAATAATCATTCTGTTAAAACACTAAGGACAGAATGTGTCATGGAACGAGTCGTCACATCACGTAGATAAAAGCGAATAAATGAGCAGGGTGTTGACCACGTGGCCGCAGTGCAAATATCCTGCATTGTCATACCATTATGCAAAGCAGTCGAAGATGCGATACCTCTGGTCGAGTGCGCCCTGAGGTTGACAGGAGGTTCTAAATCTGATGCTCTGTAGGCTTCAGAAATGGCCTCACACAACCAGTGTGACAGGTGCTGGGTGGATAACGAGGAACCTGCAGATGCATCTCTATAATGCACAAACAGATGTTAAGTTTGACGCATTGCAGCTGTGCGCACTATGTAACACGTCAATGCCCGCACAGGACAGAGAAGATGGAAAGATGCTT